TTCAAACTAACAAATTAAGATCGGTTTGTTCCTTTCACCCATATCTATCAGAACCAAGTACGGAAAATTGGTAAACACAACTGTAGAAGGTTGGGTCCGCCAGGAGAGGGAGGTTCCAAGAATTGTGGAGTGTGCGAGCTCTGTATGGCTCTGTAAGTCGCAATATCGCACAAAGTTTCTTTCAGCAGTTGTAAAAGTTACCATGCTACCAAGATAGGAAGAATCGTTCTTGGTGAAGGGTATCGGAGCCTGTCATGTTCACAGAAAATGGCCGCTAAAATTACACTGGAAATTGGCCACCTAATATCGTTTCGACATTTAGCATGGGACACATTTAGGTCTTGCGTTCCGAATGAAAGATGTAGATAGTAAAAACAGCATGATATAAAATTAGTTAGATACTAGTGTACTGCTTCTATCCAGAATCTGACGATGTATGTCGGGAATACGCAGTTTATTTGCATTCTGACTAGTTTACATTACGCCTCGTATAACACGCCTTCCAGTTCCACTTACCTTTTCAAGCTACTTTTTATCAAAGTAAAAAATATTATTTTACAATTGGCTTGTTCGAAATCCCATAGGTTCCTGGGAATTCGTTCGGTTCATTCTTCCCACTTCGTGGTTGTCTGGAACAATATTACATCGATTAGGACACCAGCAATGCTGTGACCCGCTTTGAATAAAAGTTATTAGATCGCAACGGAGTCATCGCGTACCAGAATGTTCAAAGACAACAATCCAAACCAGTCACAGTCTACAGAAGGTCATCCGACCTTTGTAAACAAGTTGTGAGATTTCAGTTAGTATACACGCTACCCTAGTCAGTATTGCAATATCACATGTTAGAAAGGTCACGCTCGGAACAAAGTTATCACCAGAATAATTGAACCTGTCTGGTCATCGATCTACGAGTGTGTTTGGACATCGACTATACGTCCTTGTCATACCTACCGCAGGATATTGCAACAATATATTGTGAGCCGTTACGTCATTTATGGCAAACCTGCGAGCCGATCACGACTGCCGTTTTAGCTTGTGGTTTATTTCTGGGGTTGCCCTTCATCTACGAAACAAATGCAAATTTGTTTCCAGGTTAACATATGTCTTAGGCGATCGTGAACACCTTAGCGAAGATAACGTGAGACATTACCTTTTACCGATTTCCTTTCAATCAAGCTGGAGGACAATAATGAATACAAGCCACATAAGTTCAGTTAGCCAAAACACTTGATTACAGTCTGAGCGACAGGTGGCACGAAGACTTTTCGGATACTGTTATTCCAATATCTAGAAAGCAAATTTCGTTTGGATATATGGATGTCACTCGAATCAACGGATTCGCGCGTACATACTTGGCATTCAACGAAGGATACATCTGATGATTCTCTATTCTCAAGAGAACCGGAAACAAGTCTGCGAGTCGGACTAAAATAGCAGATAAGATTTAGGTTTTTCACATTCCCGTTTCATGTAAGTGGCCCACTGTCGCCACCCCTCTAGACAGAAAACTTCAGGCTATGTTACTGTCACATTCCTCAGGCGAGGCTAGGTGAGCAATGGTTATCGTATTCAGTGGTTACATACGACTGTCTTGTCCTAACATCTCCTGGAGTCTTAATTTCATTTCAGTCAGCTGCAAACCGAAGGAGTCAAGTATGAGGCAAGACCCAGTAGTTAGTGCACGGTTTCCATTGAATGCTATTAGGGTTAACATAGCTTTTAGTAACGCGAACAGAAAAGAGACGGGCCTCATAAGCGCAGCAGGAGGAAATTCCATAGAAATTCAGTAGCCAAAATTAAATTCGTGATGAATCAGTAGCAAGCCAAATCCCTCAAAATGGTCATTCTTAATAGGAGGAGTGTATTTCAAGGGAAAGGCAGGTTGGCAGAGGTTAACTCAACTCATTTTGTTGCCTCTTTCTCACATCACAGTCCAGCTATTGGTTAAAAAATGCATTCAGAGTAAATTATTTCGTGCTTATTTTTATTTCTTACGCACTCAGGCGAGTTAGGGTAGTTTTTAACGGAGGTTTCTCTAGACTGAACAAGCTCCTTCAGAAAGTTTTACATTCTAGAGAGAATGACCTCTGTTGTGAAGAAATCGGTCCAACCGGTTGGTCCATCTCACTGAGTTTATTCTCACTAATATTGGTACTTTTTAAAAAGCCATCTCAGTTTCACATAGCGAAAGATTATGTTCTAGGAAACATGCTTCTCTGTGCTAACCGACTATTCTCAAGGCCAACAGCTCCCGATTACAAGGCCGACCGTCTACAGCACCAGCAACATGAAGCTCTATGAGATCATGAAATGTGCTGTCAAAAGAACCAGAGAACAGCTCTTCATGCATTGCGTCTTACATTAGCTGAATCGAAGCTTAATTTAATTATGCTAATTCCTCGTAGTCATCCTCTGTATCTGACTGTGAGGTAAGGTGTCATGTTCAACTTTGACAGCTGGGCCCACGATGGCCGGGTTGTTTGTTTTACATTACATGGTGTCTAATAAGCGCGAATCAATGTTTTGGCATGTTGAACACCACGATATTTGGCCTATTCGTTTGAATCCAGTTAGACTTACACGTGCGTCTAGCACCACACAATATGTAGCAGCAGGAAAATTTATTATTATTGTCTCACCGACTTTATGTCCTCGTAACAAGCAATTCGTTGCACCCTGAAATGTGCTCGAAATTGGCTGTGCTGTCCATGTGGCAAGCCATCTGAATGTCGTGAATCAATGCTCTTTGACAGACACGTCGATGGTAGCTTTCATCCCGTCAAAATCTCTTAACTGTCATAACACGACGAAAAGGAAACCATCCGATTTTAGCTTAACATTAAACCGCATTTAGAAGGCGATGAAGGAATCTGCGATATACTACTTGCTGAAAATTCCGTTACTACATGGGCACACCCTGTGTTACTTCAGGCTAAAAACACATGAATGTCCGAGTATGAAAAGGCAACCTTGTTACCCTTCGTTCGATGTTTATTAGAATAATGGTGGCAGCTCAATCGTGGTCATCCCGACACCCCAGTTTGTGCTCGCGCAGGCATAGTCACATGCTTCTCACACGTTTAGTAAATGGTACGAATCTCCGCACAATAAATGATATACATCAATGAGTAATATCGGTAGCGAAATTCCAACCTATTGCTTCCCGCTTAAATATGGACAAACCGAAAGAATCGCTACGGTAGGGATAAGAACTGTCCACACTATGACGCTGAAACGATTGTTGAAATATTCCGGAGGTGGCCCCAAAGTGGGCAGTAACCTTTCTGAAATGGTCGGAATTCTAGGGTTTTCTTAGCATTTTTTATCTACTATAACGAGCTTATGGATGTATATGCATCCGGAGATAGTGTGAACTCTAATCCGTTCACACTCCCCGCCCGTGACCTCTAGAAGACCAAACAGCTGTAACTCTCTCTCTCTCTGTAGCTCTCTCTTTATGTACCTCTGTCAGCTTCTCAGAATTTGTGACGGAACCCCATGCATGTATAATGTGATTCGGCATTGGAAATCACTTACCATACGTTAACTGAATTCTCCATCTTTCTCACCTTATTGAGTATGCCTAAATCGATTTGGTCGACTCTTAACCCTGACTGTTTGCTGTATAAATGGAAGATGTGCCTGAACAATATTTGTGTTTTATAACAGAAAGAAGCAAAGCAAAGGTCTGGCAATACGAAAAGAGCTTGTTTTTCTTTGCCTTTGAATGGACAGAATATTTCGAATTTCGGCAAAGAGGTCTAGTTAGGGAATGGTGGTGTACGTAAGGAAGACAAAATACGAGTGTTGTACAGTTTAGTTTTGCACGGTTTTTCGTAGCTGCATGTGGAACATGGCCTGAAACGTGCTTCTGAGCTCCAACCACAAGTGGTCCCTCGTTAGAGTAATGTCCTTTGAGTGAATATGATTTGAACTAAAGGCTAGTTCCCACTAAGGATGACCGCGGTCATAATTAGAGGCCACAGAGACATACTAGTGGCTAAAATTATATTAAAACCTGGAAAGATCAGAACCTATACTGCAAGCGTGTTCTACGGACCCGCTTGTCGGTACACATCTGATGTGGATACCTTTGACAGCGGATAAATCTCGCCTTGAAAGAAGGTCACAACCCTAAATCCCCCAAACCTCTGTAAGCGTATTCCACGTGCTAAACGGAAGACTATTGGTTGTCTAAAACGTCAACAACCTTTTTGGTGGACTAATTTGCTTGCCTCCCCCTGAGAGTCAAGGGGGGTCGAGAATGAGAATATGATATAATCTTTTTTTATAAAATTGATGAAAAATATAGCCTCCTAAAACATGCTCGCTATTTTCATTTTTCTGTTTATACCATTGTAAATTTTAGCTGCTGCTCTCTTCTTTCAGATTTTTAACCGCAGATCATAACTTTCTGGGCAATAAGGTAGTGAGTGAAACAAAGTCACTGAAAACGCCTTTGTTGATGAATACCGCACACACTTAGTTATGGTCATAAAAGTATCCGTTCATAACCCAAGGGTCACATTTCTGCTTTTCGTACGAACATAAGGTAGATTTTCACATAATCGATGTAGTGTAATGATTTGGTTGTAGTTATGGAGCAGAAATGACAGTAGGAATTTTTTGTCAGTATATCCGCCGAAATACAACACGGAAACACAGCCGGACTGTTGCACAGGAATTTGTCCTCCCACATATCAGTGATCTGCTTGTTAATAGGTTCCAGTTCGCTACACGACCCTGGTTGAAAGCATAAATTATTTATTATGCAGTGAGTGGTTCGTAAACCCTTCCCTAGTTTGCACTTCCGCATAATGCTTGTTGAGATAATCGAACTTCAAACAAACAACTAAATAGCGATGCCATGCAGCAACGCATCACCGAGGGGAACTCAGTGGAATTGGAGGGATGAGCACAGTGCTAATTACACGCTTCCGGTACTGCCCAACTGTATAAATGGACTTGCTACTTCGCAATGGAGACCGTCAACAAAACCGAAACAATCGTATTCTGGGATCAGGTATGGCTACTGTTGAAAAATTCATAGAATAGTTTTGAGAGTAACTAGTTACATTTGGCTTTAACGTCTTTGTTTAATCATTTTTACTGTTCATGGGTATGGCATTATATTTATTTATCGTATGAAGGTAGCATAAGTTGCGTTTTATGTTTTAAGCGCATATACTACAAGAATTACTGTGCGCATATGCAAAACTTGTTAGGTTAAGTTTTTACTTTTGTCGTACATCGTAGGAACCCGAAGAAGTCCGTTAAACTACATTATATTTGCATCCTGTGAACAGAATAGTCGTAGAGGAAGAGTTTCTGGAGAGCCTTTGATATATAAACAACTTTTCGCCCCATTCGAACAAAAAAACGGATACTATAGTAAGAGTTCTTTTCGGATTATCAGAAGACCGTAGATTTGACCTCACTAGAGATCTTTTACAATGGATCACCGTCTATCTTTGCACTTCGCATGCTGCCTTACAAGAATCGAAACACATTCAGAGTGGTTAGTATCATGCCTGACAATGCGTTTCAGTGCCACATCAAGTAGACAAATATTTATATTTTATCGATCAGCTCTGTTATTTTTTCGTTCGGAAGCTGTTGCTTAGCAATGTTCAAATGTGAATTGACTTTCAAACCCTAGAAAACGGACTGTGTATTTGCGTACCAAAGTGCGAATTTGCTGAAGCTAGTGCTTTTAGAAAGCAACCAACAACAGCCACCTTGAGAATTAGTTCAACCTGACGAGGCGTATTCGTCACAGAATACGTGGTCACATCGTATAGGATGGTTTCTAAGGGACAGCAGCATTTTTTCCAGATTATGGATTAAAGTTTATCGGAGCAGGTGAGAAGGAGTAGAGGAACATACTACATTATCCCAAAAATGCCGAAAGACCGTTGTGTCGCCAACTGGGAAGACAGGGTGTTCGCAAATATGTGGAATCGCCCAAATAGAGTACATTAACGCCCCTTAGTCTAACGTCATGCAATCGTTTATATCTAATAATTTCATTTGAATCTCCTCATAGGCTACTAGCCTCCAAAGGGACAATCAGTCCTAGGAGCTTCGAGCTGAAAACTACATATGGCAAAAACACGTAGGCCGGTTAAAACGCAATATCGATTCTACTTTATATCTCTTTATCTCAGTTCACTATCAGTTTGGCGTAAGTCCCGGTTTACGGCTGGAAGCAAATGACGAGGTATCAATAAAGCAGCTCAAAGGTTCAGGCGAGTTTTTGCCAACCTAACTTATCTAACAGCTGACATACGTTCTCAAAGTTCATATTAGCATGCATAATAAGTGTAATGCTACATTTACGCATAGATTATTATTTTGTCATTAAAATCTTCTACTTGCCTGTAAAGGGTGCTTAGATCGTGCATCAGACCCAGTTAAGCTGAACACTACAGTTGTGCACATGACAGGAACGAAGTACTTCCAATATCTTGCCCACATAACCAGTTTTTCAATCCTAAAGTATACTTCGAACTACTGCCAAAATTCAGTATAATTTTAGTGCGACCCCAAGCAGATATATTCCGATGAACATCCGGTGGTGAATATATGATTACCAATATAAGGATATATAAGCATAAGCGATATCAAAGTGTAAGCAAGAGGTCCCGAGTGCACTAATCTGCTCACCCCATACAAAGCGCCTTACCTAGGTGGACCGTCTACCTTGTTTTCTATGAGATGGAGAACAACGTCTGCAGAACTTTATGAAAAGTGAGGATGTCCAACTGAGGATAGGTGATGTTTTCTCTAAATTTCTTAGCTTATTTGTTGAATATGCGGTGATGATGCAGTCAGTCTCGAATAGCTGCAACCCCACTCCTTCTCATACGAACGTTTCATGTTACCTAGACAACAGGCCCATGTACACGTACACTTAAACAACCGAGTCAGAAGGGAATCACAGAAAGGAGGTCCAGGGTTGGTTTTTTGGTACAAACGAGCAACCCGGACAATATAGCCAATAAGTCACACACAAAAATAAAGGTATGAGTTGGAAAAATAACTTAAAAATAAGTGCAACTCGGTGGTGTGTTGGGGCAGTAATATAGGTTACTTGAATAAACAGCCGTACTTATGCGTAAGTGCGATCGCAGTGGTTGGTAAAGTTTCCACAAACATTTCTTTTAATCGTCAATCTAAGCAGATTAGCGTTCCTTATCCCCACGGTCCACAAGCAAAAATTCAGGAGATAATGCTGTACTGAGCGTTTCACTCAGAAATTTACTGCAACGGTATTCGGTGCACCCTAGTTTTTCATAATTTGAGTAGTTGTCGACGTGATGAATAAGTACAATCCTAGAATAATCACGCGGAACTTTAAAATATGCCACATTACCGAATGATTTTTCAGTCAGTGGAGATTTTGACCCTGATTATGGAAGCCCAACCTTTTTGGACGCGTGATCAGCTGAACTATGGAACCACTGAGAATTAATCTTATGGGTGTGTCGAATCTTCCTGGATTGATTGATTTTGAACAGTCACACCCGTAACAATCGTTGATCAGAATAGTTGGTAAACAGTTTGTCAATCAAATTTAGTAAATGTCCCATTCTTGATACCAAATTTTGGTTCTATTTTGCTCAAAATGGTACATTGTTTATCCGCATATGTACAAATCTAAGTTCTGAGGACGTGTTAGCTCACCTGAAAAGCACAGTGCACCCTTCATTCTGCCATCCACTGCAACGTTCCACGTGCCTGCCATATTGTTGATACCTTACTGACTTCCTCCGACAGACATCAATTGCTCACATATTATCATTGAGTAGTATTATCACGGCCGTGAACTTTGAAAATCTTGCAAAAGTCAGCTTCTGGACAAGCTAGGCATCAGTGGAACAGCTTATCTGTCACCAGAATGGGGTTAATGTGAGCAAAAATAATAGACGATTCAGGATAGACCCTATTAGGGTAACTGTGATCTCAAGTAATTTAGTGGCTAAAGTTCATCAGTCAGTAGCCACAACTTACGAACAGACGACTCCGAAGAAGCATTTCTTAAGATCTGTAGTCCTCACCGGGTTTCGTCAGATGGACTAAACATGATCCAACTGTCTTACATTCAAATTCAAACTCCGCACGATTACCCTGGAGTTCATGCCTTCATCGGTGTCATTTCAGCGTTTGGTATGGCTTACCGGTTGATTTACACAGTGATTGAATCGAAGATCCAGGGAGTGCGCTCCTAATCTGTACATAAGTCCTCAATGTGCTTTGTCAACAATCTGGAGTGCTTCTTTCCGTGCACTTCCAGTCGTGCTTTCTGCAACCACACGGTGTCAGAGTAATGTTACTGGAAGGACATACGTTAACCAAACGCTGTAATTTCAGCTGATCAACGTATGTTTGGAATACTGGCTTGGAATTCGACCGTTAGTACAAGATCCAGACCCATAATCACTCTGATTTTTGAGCACTCATTGTCATATGTGAGATTTCTTACTACATGGAAAAAAATTTGTCCATATATATCGTCGAGAAATCAAGCGTCCAAATCCACTATGGAAACGGCTTGTTACTTATAGCTGGTTGTTATGCCATCAAGCATTTGTTGCCCTCTTTCCTTTTCAGATGACGCGCATACTAATTTTATCGAGCTTGGTTATCTTCGCCTTAGTACTCGATAACTGCATGGCCAGAGGTGAGGCTTTTCGAATACTGTGTGCACTACGGTAGCAGAAGTGTTCATACATTGCTGATCCACTTCTAATCACCAGACGTTTGCGTGTTTAACTGCTTAATTGGTTATTGCGTGGTCCAGACTCTCTGGAGATTCATTGAATGCGCACAACTGATGATTTCCATTAAGGATGGTACAACTATGCAGTGTTCCCCGGTTTTTCAGCATGGTTTTTATTTAGCATTCACAAATCCCCTCACATTTCAAAGTGTACAGTCTAGTTATAAATTCAAGTCCCTTTTATACACAGAACCCATAGCATTCAGCGTTGATGTCCTTCTAGTTTGTCCTGACTAACACCGTGACATACAATTCTCCTATCTATCTGTCTTTCCTCACTCGACCTATGCTCAGTCCTCTCTCATTCACGTTTAGATCGTCATCTCATTAGGAGCTCGCCGACTGACTGACAAACGAGCTAACTACTTGAATGTACTACTATAAGAGCCAAGTTGGTGAAAATAAGTAAATATTTTCCAAGTAAACAATAAGCCAGACGTAGCTTAACCGCAATCTTTCCTACCACCAAAATGTATCCATTTTCACTAAAGAATTCCATCTACACGACCTGTAGTCCAAAAAGAACAGAACCTCATCCATTCCGAGGAATGCACATTCGTCATTCATAAAGTATAGTTGTTTTTTGAGACTGCCACTAACAGGGTTACACTTCGGATCCCTCCGGATCAACTTTGCGTCATAACAAAGATGAAATTACTCGTGTGGCTGAATTTTCGCTATCGAAAATCATAACTACCTGAGATAAGCTTTCAAATCCCTACCTTGGTAAGATGCAAATGACGCTCGTCATGGACTAAACGATTTCTGTGCATTGTCAAAATATTTATCACTGTATTAAATTTGCTAGATGGGTTGACGGAAGTCGGCAACGTCTTATCGAACTCTACCGTTTCACTGCAGTAGCACAGCTGTACCTAGTCCTTCGGATAGGCAGGAGGAGACGTATTTGAAGTATGTTTATAGACTGTTTCGGTCAGCTACCGTTAGCCACATCCTATGAAAATTTATGCCTATATCAAAGATTGCGTTCAGTTCAAGAATACTGGTCTAGCGATGCTCATCTGTAGGTTTTATAAGGATCTGATCCATTTTAATTACTTACCTGCCTGGCATCAGGATAGCCTTAGCCGCCACAGCCTTAGTAAAAATGAAAAAAGACTGAAATCTCCATAGAAGAAAACGTTGGTAGCTCAGGTAGCGTAGATGGTGGTCGTTGGCTTGTTCGCTGAGCTGGGCAATTTGATTGCAGACGTTTCGTCACCAATCGAGGTGACATCATCACTGCGTTATTGGGGAGCGTAGTAGTACGAAGTGGTGGGTTGGTGGTTGTGCACAACCACAGTGAAATTTCCATGTTTGTCAGTGCTCGTCTTGCATTGGCCGTCGCAGCTGATGTACGAACGCAGAGGTTTGGTGTGAACGGGAATGTTACTACCTGGAATTTGCAACCTCAAAACCTACTTTCGATTTGAAACTAACACATCCAGACCATTAGTTACCCTCCCTCTCCAACTGCTCCCGCTTCTTACTTCTTTGTTGAAGTTGGACTGGTAGAGCCTATGGCCTATTGAAACCTCCAGAATAAATGAAACCAGAAGGAACACCGTGTCACTGTCGTGGTGTGGGAGTCCATAAGGAGAGTTGGTTTGGCCCACAGAAAGACATACTGCGTTCTTACCCCGCTGTTCTTTCCCATTTGACTCCGTGATTACCTACGATTTCTAAGTAGTTTGGTTCATAAATAATTTAGCAGAATAAGCAGACAGCTTGAAACCTGAAATAAACCTAAACGTCAACACTCCATTAATATCGGCTCATACTGGAGCAGCAAGTTGCAGTTATTGAAGATGCACTTTCATTTTAAAATTAAAATACTGCCAAAACGGAAGTCGCAAACGCTTCCCGGCTATAATATTCTTACCCTGCATGTGTTTTATAAAGTCTGCTTCGTTTTTCACTCAAAACCTTGTTCAAGCTGCTGAAATAATTTCACTGATGTAGTACCAAGTATTAGGACTTTAGAATTGTTGACTTACCTTACTTTTCATACACTTCACTATGCGTTTATGCTTTCTTCAGACAGCAAGTGGGTCACTTACAGGGGTCAACAATCTTACCCAGGATATCGTCAAACCAGTCCTGTCAAAACTCACAACAAACCAGCGAGACCACCGCGACCAGCGGTCCCACCACGGGCAGATATTCGGGGTGTAAAATTATATGGACCTCGACGCAATGAGAAAGAATACCGAGAAGGTCTCAGCGAACTTGCAGGACTGATGGATATGTGACACCTGCTTTGGAAACTGTCAAGCTTATGACTGTTCAGCTATTCTCAGTATTGTCTGTATCTTGTTTGAAGCTTCAACACTGTAATGCGTTGTTTACGTATGGTCACAAATCGCTTAAATAGATGTTGTTCTTTGTGTTCTAAAACCGACTATATACATACCTCAATATGAATCAACTTAATGGTTGTTTTGAGCAACATCCCTTAGTTAAAATATGGTTGAGTATCTAAAGGCCTTCGGCCATAACGTTACCTCTGACGAATGACATTTTGTGTTGATGTAATAAATAGAAAATATGCTCGCTTGTTACCGCCAGACGCAAGCAAAGTTCAACCGAAATAACTGTCTTTGGCGTAAGATTCTAAAACTTGTCATGATTGCCTCGCCTTTTGAGGTCTGCGGGGAATGTTGAATTAGCTAGAAGGTGGTTTGAGAAACAACCGCAGATAACAAGCTAAATAAAAATCAAGGTGTTCCTTCCATACATGAAACTTACATTCACATGATTTGAGCCACGACTGGGTGAAATAGAAGTTTTCAGCAGCTCACGGTGTGTCCATCGTCAAGTTCATGAATTTCTTCGTCAATGGATACCAGAGTTCCCAACAGATTTACGTATACAGCATTGCTTTTTTAGTGGGGTAGTTAGGACTCCAAAGAGTAGGTTGTAACAAGACACACCTTAGCAGAAGAGTAGTCTTCCTTGAAGATCACACATTTCTCAACACGGTCAAAGTTAAAAATTAAAGCTGCTATGTCTACAGCTGTTGACAGAGTAGAAGCAGACTGCGAAAATATATAATTTCTTATCTCCCAAGGAATACGGTAGATTTGCAGTTTCATCATGCCCTACAATGAGCGAAAAAGCATAAATGCTTCGCCTTAGGAAAGCGCATTCCTGAAAAAGCGTATCGCCGAGACGCGGAGTTAGCCGCTTAGTAACCTACTCCAATCTGAGCGCATCCTTAGACGACTGCGTGAGATTTTGTTTGGGGCTGATACCTTATGGCAAGCCTTTCTAAGGCTCTTAAGAAGACCACCTAAGATACCCTCGACAAAACAAAACCCCACAAAAACAAGATTAGTGACTGTCGAAATGGGCTTTCCCGTGTAAATGTTTCAAGTGTGACGTGATAAACAAGTGTGTTTTCGATGTAATCAGGTTTCCAGTGTTTTGGTTTGAATGTTACCTGCCATAGCTGCCCCCTTCTGAAGTACATATGGAGGGACCATACAAAAATGGCTTCTTCAGGGCTAATTGCAGTGGTCCATGCAAACCTCAATGAAGTGTGATCCATGTCAAGCAGCGAACTCTTTGCGAATGAGCATCTTGGAATAATTTGAGTGTTCAGGAACGGAATGGACACACAGCTGAAAACTTTACATAACCAGATGCACTAATTTATCCAGAAAGCGTAGAATACCTTTCAGTCGTTGGTTATGAACACTAGGAACGTAAAAATTTTGCAACCACATTCTGGTAAATAGAAGAGGGAAACCCAGGATTCAACAAAACGTAAGACTTAAATTAAGGCTTGTTGTACCTGTACGCATACGCAGCAAGCTTGTTAGTGAACTGGAATCAGGCGGATACTTCTTCGCTAACCGCACTCAACACTGGCCCCTTTATCGAAGATGGTGGTTATCACATTTATTCTCTAGTTGTTTGGAGCAGTCCGCTTTTCTCCAGATACAACCAAATAAAGCAGATAAGGGATGACAAAACGCTACACCGTTATCCTCGAGGACGAATAGTGAGAAGTCTTCTGGATTAGGCGCATGGTGGTGCTTGATAGAACATATTTGGGAACAGACTTCCGAGGCCATGGGGGTTACAGGTCCATCGACCAGGATTCTAACTAATGTCCGGTAGAAACGGTATTTTCCTCAGCTTAGTTCTCGGTCTGAGCCTCCCAAGCTGGCGTTCACGTCAAAACAACCACCAAAGGTGCACAAGGTCTCTTAACGCCCAAAACGAAGTCAAGAACAGTTGTACAGCGCTTCGTATATATAGCATAAACGGTTATAAATTTCTGGAATTTCTGACGCGTTCTGGATGCGCTATTGGCAACCGGCAATTGGCCAACACAGGGTCAGGATTGGCTGTTGGGTCAAGATTGTTAACCAATCAGATCTCGCCTTGATGCCGGGCGGCCAAGCGTCCCGAATTCTGGGCCAACCTCGAGCGGGCCAGGCTTCTCGGCCGTAGCAGCGCCTAAAGACGTGCCGTATAGTGGGATACGCGTGGATTCCTGCCTAACACCCCCCACTCGAAGTTTGTTGACGTAGCTTCGAAGCCGGGGTTTCGCTTGCAGTGGCCTCACTAGTTTGCGGATCCTGTCTGTCCAGCGTCGCGGTTGTAATCCGTGCTCAGGCTGGGCCTCTGACGAAACAACTGATTGACTTTCTGGGATGGTGCCGAGATCAAAAGTGTCCAGAAGCATTTCTAGACTCATATCACTCGGTCCTGTGGGCACGATCGGTGCATCTGTCGGCCGGATTTGGTTCGCGTGGCGTATCCACTTGCCTGGACCAACTCGAATCTCGTAGAGCACTTTGCCGCGCCGGCAAAGGATGAGTCCTGGGGTCCACGTAGGGCGTCTGTCGCTGTAGTCACGAAACAACACTCTCTGGCCTTCGCTGAATGCGCGCCCAGTTGCTCCATGATGCCGGTTGAACTGTTCCTCCATTCTGGTGTTGCGGTGACCAGTCTGCTTTGTTTGGGGCCGGATAGTGTCATGCGGTGTTCGGAGCCTCCTTCGGAGCAGTGCCTCTGCTGGTGATACTCCATCAG